ACACATACAGACACACACATGCACACAGATACACACATACAGACACACACATGCACACAGATACACACATACAGACACACACATGCACACAGATAGATGATGTTCCCTCCCTTAGTGTCGCTGACAGTTTAATGTGCTGGCACTGAATCACTCTTTTTAGCATTGAACACTATCAGATTACTACGAATAAACACTTCATTCTGGATGCTGTTTGCTTTCACAAAAAACCACCTGAGCTCATTCCGCCTCTGTTGGCCAGTCACAGAACAGAATATCATTATACTGGTAGCAGGTACAGCTGAGAGTGGAGGGTCAGTCAATTTTCAAGCAGTGGTGAGTTAACCACCAGCCATGGGATTCAAACCAGCGACCTTCCGGGCATGGGCACAAACACTGGCTGAGGTACACAATGCCCCCCCCCCCAGGGCTGCTGCTGGAACCATGAACACATGTTGGTGGTGAAGCCAAGTCAGTGGTTGGCTGCCGCAAAGCAAACCCAAACCCAAATGCAGCTGCTCACACTCGATGGATGGTGCGAATCCCATGTGCGGATGCATCTCCATGGCGATTTATAGCCAGCTGCTTGTTTCCAGAGGCGTTCAGGTGACTCACCGCTGCACTTGTTCAAATGTTTAATGACTGTGACAGCAGATGAGCCGGTGGCCCCCCGGAAGCCTCTGCCGTCTGCTGCTGTGCGCCTAGGTCCAGTCGGTCTGCCAAATGACTATGACGGGGAGACGACCGGACCTGGGAAGGGGGTCCACCTCCTGTAACGGAGCAGACGTGCCCCCCGAAGCCTGTTATCAAGGAATGACAAACGCAGCTTCAGAGCCGGACACTGATCCACGTTCGCACATGTGCCCCATCAGGTCGGCGCAAAGCACATGCCGCTTAATCCTACGACATGGCAGCAGAGTCGTGATGTTCTCTGTCTCTCATCACCAAGATGCCGCCGCATAGCATCTGCTGGACAGCAAAGTCAGCACAGTCTTAGTTTGATGCGGGGGGGGGACTGTCTCATTCACTATTACAGCCTGCTGCAGCCCCTGTTTCAAATATCATCTATCTATGGTAAAGTGCAGCCTGTCAACAGACAACAGGCAATTATGATAACCCATAGAAATAAATCCAAATTCTTAGAAATATAACGGTGGCTGAAGGGGCAGCCCCCTGTGCTTCCAAACAAAGCCTTTATACAGAAGTTCACAAGGAAATCCCCGGAAAGTGAACAATGGCAATTGTGAGGAAGCAGAAACAGGTTCTTGGCAAATCCCGGCCGTTTTATTTAATCTTGTGCTACAGTTCCTCATTAAAGTCAAAAAGTCAAAAGTGAACTTTATTGTCATCTTTCCATATACAAGTATACGGAAAAACAAGATGGCAAAGCTCAGAATCCACAGAATATGCATATAATTGAACTTTACATTATTACAACTCGCGAGGATCACGTGGTGACAAGATACTCATAACAAATAAAGAGACAAATAAACATAAACATTGTCATGATGAAATATTAGCCCACTCAACGAACACCCTTAATTAATCAATTAGGCCTAACTGTTCATTTGCTGCACTATGGTAACTTATAAAGGATAAGATGGCCTTATTAGCATATTGGTCACGCACAGTCGGCCACGGGAGCTGACAGCAGACCAGCTCTCCAGGAAGCTGCTGGCCCTGGGCTCGGAACCCGGCGCTCCACAACACTGCACTTGTACCAACACAAAAGACGGCCACACCTTTTAAGCTTCCAGTTTCATGCTGTTTGCTTGATCAAGTTACAGCAGTAGCCAAAGACAATGTCCTGAAGGAACTTGCCCCCTCTCCACTCTGCTCTCACTGACATACAGCTGACGGAAAGACTGTGTTTTCTTCAAAGTGCTTAATCAATGAAATCGTGAAATATGTCCTCAGCAGATGGCCTGCGATGGCTGGGGGGGGGGGGCTCCAGTGTCATGTTGGACCAAGCAGGGGGGGCTCCAGTGTCATGTTGGACCAAGCAGGAGTTACTTTACTTAGAGGAGCGCCGATTCTCCACTTGGCTTCCAAACACGGTCTCTCCATCTGATCCAAGCACACATGGCAGAGCGCAAGTTCTGCAAAGAGCGAGCAGCCTCGCGAAGGAAACCGGATCCAGAACAAACATTGGACATGGGAAATACGGTCGTCAGTCAGCAAGCCTTAAATCCCGTCACTACGTGCTATCGTTAAGCATGTATCTGAAGCAAGTCGTCACTCGACACTAATGGGTTATTTATTTGTTTTTCTGACTCATCGTTAACAGGCGATGGTGTTTATGGGGGATTTAACACTATTTTAAATGATTTAAAACAAGCTGTTTTTCAGAAATATTTAATTCACAGATGCATTTCCACAATACATTGAATAGATAAATTTATAGGCTGTAAAGATGAAGTGGGATCTTGGGATTAGATATTACAGTCCATTTTTTCAGATTAATTAATAAACCGCATTTAGTAATAAACGTCATTCACGTTAAACATGCAGTAATTATGTTCTTTGCCCAGATTAGTGCCGTGATCATTACTGTGTTATTTAAAGGGAATCGTAATACGCAGCCGATAAACTCTAATACTGAACTTAAACCTCTTCTCTTTTCCTTTAAATCTTATTTGCTGTAAAACAAACGAGATATAAATTATACATATAAACGACTTGGCGAAGCACTTTTTGTTTCAAAAATACCTTCCGTGATTCTACTGAAATACCGCAGAGCCCTATTGGCAACCGCGCAAACCCTTGGACGCACAGAGACATCATGATAATGTCAGTGGGCTCTGTACTTAATCACGCCAGAGACGGCGCTGTAATCCGTACGGCTGCGTTATTAACTTCCTGGTGGTGTCCTTTCATCCTTGCGATCGGAGAGTACAAGGTGTCCGAGCTAACGGGAAGCTGCCGATCGCTCCCCCTCGCCAGCGTGTTTATTTCCCGGGGGTGACGTGGGAGACTCCGCCCCTGTAGCTTTTCGATTGGTCCATCGCCGCTGCCCACCGTCGCGAGCAGTCGGGGCCGTATAAAAGCGCAGTTTGCCGTTTGGGCAGATCACTTAGGTGGAAGAGAATCTGCGGATGTAGTGTGGTTGTGCGGCACATGCACCCCTCATTTAACATTAAAAAAACAACCAAAAAAACAGCCAACTACCCCGCGCCGCACCACCCTGGCGCACTTATCGCCCGAAACCTTCCCACCTCGGAAAATAAATGACCAGAAAAGGTCTCCAAGAAATCAAACATCGCAAAGACAAGAAAACGCGCAGCACGACCGGACGCCCGCCTCGGACGGGAGACACAGATCCAGACCCGGCTCCAACAGGACACACAGATCCAGACCCGCCTCGGACGGGACGCGCAGATCCAGACCCGGCTCGGACACACAGATAGGGCGCCGCCGCCTCCCCCTCCATGCGTACGCTCACTATGAAACCGGAGATCACCGCCGCCGTCGGGTTCCTCTCCAGATTCCTGCGTATTAAGGGACATGTGAACGACAGGCAGCTGCAAACTTTCAGTCAGTGCCTCCAGGACATCCTGGCCGGTAAGGCTCCGTCGATGGGCTGGGGACACGTCGTATCACGGTTCATCCGCTGCACCCCACGTAGCTCACGTGTAACCGTGTTTAATAAAACGTTTGTTATCTTTTGTTTAGGCTATTTATCCATTTAGATTGTATCCAACCTTATTGTCATTGCGCAAAGCAAGCTACTCAGAGAACTAAGACATGTAATTCGAAAGTATTAAATACAAAATGAATCTAATAGAAAAGTATTAGAAACAAATGTACAAGACCTACATACATGTGTGATTATTAAAAAGTAGTGAATGTACATCTGTGTAGTGGTATACATTTGTACATGCTGTGACATAAACAAACAACGGAGGCCACTTTATTTATCTTAGACATTTCCCCAACCAGGAAATAGAGCGTAGTTTCCTGTACCACAGTTGTACGTGTATACAGCCCCAGATGGTCTACTGAATTACGCGATTATTACGTAAAAACGTGGTTCGAGTCAAATCCTTGGTTCTGCTTTTTTCACTGTTACCAGTTAATCGCAAACAGCCGCTTATAATGATCTAAGCTATGAACCGGGGTGGCGCGTCTTTGCACCGACCTGCAAATGATAAACATGACGGAACTTATTCAAAATCACCCTTTTACTAATTACAAAAACCAGGATTATAAATGGAAAGTAATTTGGGGGTAGAATCGGCTTTCATGTCATGGCAACGGGTAAATTAATCTAGATCAGATCGGCAAAGGGGAATTTAATTTATAGATACATTATTCAGGTTGGATATAGTCTGCTATGGAAATATTCGGATAGATTTGACGCCCAGTTTACAAACATTACGATGCTTTCGTTTTTGCACCAGATGAAGATTCGATCGTAACCGTCTAAACTTCACCAAAATGCCAATTTATATTAAATTCTTATCAGTCATAGGTTCAACTAGGCCTATGTGTTTTATAGCAACTGTTACGCGGAAGAGAATTAGACCCAAATGGTGTGATTTTTCCGAGGAAGAGAAACAAAAATGACCATCATGTTGGAAATGGAGCAGAAGATAACCCGACTGAGCATGTGGGGGCTGGAGCTGCCTTTTCTGCTCTAACTCTGTGTAATTCGCTATTTATGGCTGCCACTGGTGATTTTCCATCCTGAAAGTGAACACACATCATAAACAGATAAATATACATATTCATTATACATTATGGCTCAGTGTGTTTTATGTTCCGGATTCCTCCAGCGTAGGAAAATCCCTCAATACACTTAATAAAACCATTGTCCCGCGTTGTTAATTATTTTTATTTACTCCAGCCATCTCTAATCGCACCTAGAAGGTAATAGACAGATCATGGAGGTTTATTGATTTATTTTTCTTTCAACTTGATAACAAAAACGCTGACCAAGGAAGCGGTTAAAGTTATGCTCTTACCAATTTAAAAAAATTAATGGAAAATCGCTGCTGGTTTTACGTTCAGTCGAGTGATAGTTTAATATTTTTCGGTTAAATGGATCATAAGACATCCCATTCTCGGCAAGTTATCTCACAGGGTCATTAAATATTTGTATTTGTAGGCCTATTAGTCCTTTACACTTCACGATATACGTTTTTGTATTTTCACACGATTTTACATTCCGCTTTGCAGTGAAGTGTTAAACAGGGATTTCCCGTACTGACGTTTAAAATAAATACACGCCCTCATTACAGCCTGTAATTAGCGGGCACATCAACAAGTTCGTTTGTTCCCCAGGGTGGTAAATCTGCGATAAGTGACACAGCCGTCACAGTGTGTTATACTTACGGCAGAATATATTGACACCCAGTGTGTCTAGAAAACTGTGTGTGCCGTTCCTCTCAATACGGATTGCAGGAAGTTTTGTGAGTGAGAAATGATGTCCCAAATATGCATACACGGCGTATGGTGACATTTGGATGGCTGGGATTGATCGTTTTTGTCTAGAAACAAAGTACTGTAACGTTCGTAGTTTGGAAGTTGGATTTGAGTGGTAATTTATATGGGAGCCTTGGTCAAGGCTGACGAACAGATTGCTTGTGTAGGTAAGGCCAGATAGCATTTTGCTTTGCTAATATGATCTCAGCAGATAAACATGCTGTGACATGACCTGCTATCCGCAGCTATGGAAAGTACCGGAATCTCAGGCTGGCGGCCTGATTGGCGAATCAGCCAGGTGAGCGGTGGGGGCGTTGTGTAAGGGGCCCGCACGTGGGACGCAGGAACGCTGTTTTTTTAATTACATTCTTCCCATTTACTGTTTCACTGGAAGAGCGCCAGCGTGGCCCCTGCCACAGTGCGGCTGTCTCGGGTTTGAGACAGAGCTGGGTTTACGGCCGGTTGTTAGTCTGGCGGTGGCCTGTGATGCACTCTGATAACGGGAAATAGAAACGAGCTGTTTTTCAGTGCTGGAGGTGCGGGATGGACCTTGACCTGGACAGGCAGCGTGTGTGTGCATGTGCCTTAAATGAAACGCGTCTGCAGTGGCGTTTGCCTCAGGTGCCCCGCGGGTCGGGGTCCTCGTGTCCCTCACGTCCGCAGCTAATCAGCCCATTCCAGACAGTTATTTATACAGTGTGACCCAGATCGGGCCGGCGGGTCCTGCCCTTTTAAGTCCACGGCGCAAGTCGCGGTAAACATAGCCCAGCACCGCCATGTTAGGCCTGCGTGTTCAGATGCTTAGGAAAATGAAATTTGTTTCCTGATCTGCTTAGAAGCCTTAATGACTTGCTGTTTGATTCTGGAGATTTCTGGGAGCTGCAAATACTTTGACATGATGTGACTAACATGCCTGTGATAATTTTGATAACATTTTTTCATCTCTGCGCTGCATGAATCACTGCTCTGTGCTTTTTGTGATCGTTTTAATTGTAGTTTAAAGATGATTTAGAGGTAATTGTCAAATCCCCCTGATCGCCATAGTAACGGGAGGCATTTCTCGTCTTCCCACAGAGCAGTACCAGCACCACTGGTTCCCGGATAGGCCCTGCAAAGGCTCCGCCTACCGCTGCATCCGCATCAACCACAAGATGGACCCGCTGGTGATCCGGGCGGGTCAGCTCATCGGGCTTTCCATCCAGCAGCTGTACTGCCTCCTGCCCAGTGAGCTCACGCTGTGGGTGGACCCCTTCGAGGTGTCCTACCGCATCGGCGAGGACGGCTCCATCTGTGTACTCTACGAGTCTCAGCCATCCCCGGCGGGGGGGCCCGCCCCCGACTCCGCCCCATCCTCCCCGGCTGTCCCGCCGGGCGCCGGGGTCCTGCCCGGATTGGTCGATGGCCGGATCAGCTGCAAGGAGGAGCTGCTGCTGGGAAGGACCAGCCCTTCCAAAGCCTACAGCATGATGACCGTGTCCAGCTAAGGGCCTCTCTGCCCTTCCGGGACATGCTGAGAAGAAAGTGAAGAAAAGCTAAGGATCTGGACTATCACCCTGGGCATGGGAACCTTCTCCTTCGTTATCGTTTCTCCCCTCCTTTCATTCTGTCATTTTTGGTTACAGACTGGTGAGTGGGACGTCTCTCTGTGGAGGGCGGAGAGCGTCGGGGCCAGTGTGTTGAATGCGTGCACTTTCCAATGAGCCACCTTCTGGATACACCCCAGCTCTTTGTTACAACTGAAGAACCATTTGGCTTGTGTGTGGGTGGGGGGGATCATTAGGGTATCTTCTGAAGTTCAGGCCCTGAGAGCCTCTGCTCTAACAGATCAGTTTTGTGGACCAGAACATCATTTATTTGCTGCTGGTACAGTCTGTGCCACACCCTCCACGTCAAAATGGCCAATTTGATGTCCCTGAACGTGTTGGGGTGTGCAGCTGAAATCTCAGGCTGCATCTAGTGCCCTGTCTCCAGTCTTGCCCATCAGCTTTGACCCGCCTGTGGTCAGCTCCCTCCATTTGCTGAATGTCTTGAGGATGATCCAGAGTTTGTTTGGCTTGACCTCATCTCCCCGATGTTCTGGATCCACGGAGGAGCTCGATGCTCTGAGGGACCCTGTTTCGCTTGAACCTAAATGCACTTCGACATTTAGATTGTGTGGGATGTACATTTCAGAGATGATATTTTTATTAACGACCGCATTCCATTTTCTACGATGTCGTGTTTTATGGCAGATTTGTGCCCCTTGTTCTGGCTGAGTACATTGTGACTCCTCTGTTTACCTGATGAGCTTCTGAGATCTTACGAGTTCCTGCAGTGCTGGAGACGCATATGAGCTGGATGTTGGCCTTCCTGAGGTTCTGGATCTTTTATATGGATTTTTTTTGTCATCACTGCCAAAGGGGTTTTTTTCACCACAATTTGAGTTCTCGCCCAGCACTTGGTGGTCCCCCCCCCACCAAGCCTACCTGTGGCTTACAGCTTAAATGTTGAATTCTTCCGTTGCTATCAGTAGTCAGTTTGCATTATGAATTTCATTTATTTGGTTAGTGCTCTGTGTGTGTCTGTGTGTGTGTGTGTGTGTGTGTGTGTGTGTGTGTGTGTGGGTGGGTGGAGGGGGGGGTTTGCAGCTCGATCTCTTCTCCTGTCCCGACTCCCCCCTCCCCACCAGCCACTGGTATTCGCTAGCCCTCTCTGATCAGACCATAATAACGTGGCTGTTTACTGATCACAGGGCACTGGGGGGAGGGGGGTATTATCTCGTCCTTCTACTCATTGGGTAAGAACCTGAGCCATTTCTTTTATGGAAACAGCCAAGTCCCCCACCCCGCACTCCTCTTTCCTGCCCCCAGAGTGCGCTGTTACATATCAGTAGCCCGCGCCCTGCGTTCTGGTGCCCGGGACCTCGATCAATCTATGGCAGCTATGAAAGCACCCGACCTGGGCCACCATCGAGCCTGGCAGCGGCGGGTCGAGCCAGCATGTGCACCGGTCGCGCTCCGGGGGCGAGAAGGAGAAGGCAGGATTCAGTTCATTGTAAACGCCCCATCTGCTGGATAGTTTGTAACGGAATTTTTAAACGGCCCCTAAAGCTGTTTTCGTGGATCATACAGTGATGTTGCCCCAGGTACCAGCCGCCATGCATGGTTTTTATGGCCCATTCCTCCATAAAATTCTGTCCTCTGGCCATAATTCCCACACCCCCACGCTCAGTTCCAGTTTCCTGTTTCACACAAGTTGTGGAGAAGGTGTTTGGCACATAAAATGCACTAATCTTTAACGTTAGGGTATGGTGAAGTTTTTCCCAGGAGTCCAAGAATACATCTCCAAACTCAGCCTTAGGAAACGTGAAATCCCTGCCCAAGCATGAAACCAGAAGGAAAGTTCCATCCATTATTTCACACATCACTTGTGTGTAATGCGTGCGTCACCCGGCAAGGACCAAGGGTTAGCGTGTCACGTGTCGCGATCCGACGGCAGAAATGCCTGATTTTATAATAACCAATGTTGTGACATAAAAAAAAGCTGATATTTCTGTTAGATTGGTGTATCGCAAGGAAGGCCAAGTCATTCTCCAAACTCTGCTCATAGACTATTATCCTTTGTTTTATTCAGTTCTTACACAAAGCATAAGATAAATTCAAAAAAATAAAACAATCTAAGCGGCACTCTTGCCCCATGTCCTGCTGTCAGTACACTCAGCTTCCCCGGCTCGTATCACGATGAACTGCTGTAAATTTGTACAGTTCATGTAAATTGATTGTGAGAAGGTTGTACAGATTTCTATATTTTGGAAATTTTTTTTTCCTCTCTGTAATAAAAGATTTCCTATCTTGGCAATTACCTTTGTGGAAGCAGTCTTTATTTGTAGCTCAAGACAAACACATCACCACTGCACCACAAATCAGAAGTCTTGCATTTAGTCACTGCTGAAGTTTCATCGACTGTTTATGTGTGTGGGGGGGTGGGTTAAAGGGGATGTCTTTATGGGCTTATTGCCTGTTAAAGCAAGGTGGCATCATAGGAGCAAATAGGCTAAATAACCCAGACTGGTTCTGTGCCTCCTGTCATCTGATTACAGTGACGCTGCCGTTGAGTCATCGAGGCCTGATCACGCTCCACATTTATCACGGGAGCTGGACATCGTGTTCCTTACTTCCCCATGAAAGTGAAAGCGTGCGCTTTTCCCCCAGCGGGGGCTGTTCACGGGTCATATAGAACCTGCCTCCCTTCTGGGACGAGGCTGAATTGTTTTAATAATTTGTGACACCTAGGTGAGAAAATCCCCATCTCCTTTAAGTTCTCCCTGAAGTCCTTGTCTCCTCCCTCAACAGCAGGGGTGGCCAATCTTATCCGCAAAGGGCCGGTGTATATGCAGGTCTTTGGGATAACCTGTAGGTCAGCTGTTCAAACCCAGGTGTGAGGACTCTTCAACCAATCAGTCCTCTAATTAGTAGTAATCTAATTAGGGAGTTGCAGCGAAAAACCACATACACACCGGCCCTTTGCGGATAAGATTGGCCACCCCTGTTCTACAATACTGTAATCTCAAATACACATGTAGAGAATTAGGAGAAACATCATGTGCTCCTTGCAGTTTTTATCATCAGATTCCTGCTTCATCCTGCTAAACACAAAACCGACAGGTTCCAATGAGCTAAGGTTTTCCTGGGGCTATGTTAAATGAGCAGATCCCAAAGAATTAACTTACTTTGGGTAGTAAAGATGCTTTGATTAGGGAGGCTAAACTGGGTTGTTTTCTTTTTGTTTTGTTTGAAGGTTCCTGTGTTATTGTTAGAGGCAGGCAGTGGCATTTAGCTGTGTTTCTATGGCAACAATGATTGACATGGGGCCAGGGTATGTGGGCGGTACATGTGGAAGAGTGCTGTTCCAGTTGGAGCAGGCAGACAGGAGGTTGTGGAAGTGGGCAATACGTATAGGAACCAGCGGGATTGCTGGAAAGGGAGAGTCACCAGTAGAAGTGGTTGGTACTTGTAGAAGTGGACTAGTCAACTAGTCTTAATGGACAGTAGAAACGATTAATTGGGGACGCCACTAAAAGTGGCGTTCAAGTATAACATGGTAACTGTGGAAGAGGAGGATATTTAAAGAATTCCGCAGTAATTTTGGTAGCACCAGTGGATAGTGTGAAGTGCAGGTGGACAGCAGTCTGAAGCAGTGCAGTAAGACCTTCAGCCATGCAAATGTAGATGTTAGCTTCTTTGCATGGGCGTGTCGATGAAACAAGTGAATATTATTCATTTAAATGTGAAAACAAATGTCCACATAGAAGTCATGTTAAGGAATGGGGATGTCCTCTGTCACTGTCTGATGTCTACAAATTGCACATCAAAGATTTACATGTTCTATTTGCAGCATACCTTTGCAGCTCTGCACCTTCGTATATAAACAGTTCTGCGATGTCGGAGACCACAACGTGCTCTCTTTCCGTTGGTATTTGGTTCCCCGATTTGCATGTGTTCTTTCTTTGTGGTTTTTTGCAGCCATTTCAGGCTGTTGCACAAAGCCGCTTCTGTGTTGTGCAACCTGGTCAGGCGAGCTTCTTTTCCCAGCGTTACGGTTTTAGGGGTCGGATGCTCCTGGCGGTGAGGATCGTGTCCGTGTCTCGTTCACGGCCACCATGTAGACAGTGACGGATGACGTCGCTCCACCTGTCGCTCTGTGTTGTTTTTTCCAGGCTCAGTTCTATAGAAATATTTGTTGTGGGGGTGTGTGAATAGCCGCTCTCACTTGGGTGGAGTACAGGCACACAAGAGAAGCTTCCGGACACCGTTTTCATTGCCGTTCCTCTCCAGGGCATCTGCCAAAGGTTTATTTTCGTTCCGCCAGTGTCGGGCTGACCTTGAAGGGCGTGAGCCTCCTCTGAGGTACCACAAAATAAACCAAAATGAAACTCGAGCTGAAATGAAACTTCATGTGGCGCTCATGTGGCAATGGACGCATACGCAGCCCCGTTCTCTGTGGGATTCACCCGGCTCACCAGGGATTCACCAGTACCAGGACATGCCTCACTTTGTTTTCCCACGGTTTGAAGGTTAAGGATCGGCCTGGCCTGTTTTCCCAATCACCTGTTTCTTTGGAAAGCAGAGGGCGTGACACAGGCCTTTATACAAGCAGCACAAACACATACACACACACACACACAGTGACATGCAGGCGTGGCAGGTTGTTATGGTGACTCATGTTACCTGCCCGCCACGTGTGACTGGGGGTTTGGTCTTTGCTCACTTCCCATCCCACATGGTGGACATGTTGTTTAGTTTTTAGCCCTCAAACTCCTTTTGGATAGGTTTTGAGGACCACCCCCACCCCGCCCTTATCAAAGCACTCTCTGTGTGGCTTTAATGGGCTCTCTGTGCAACAAGCGCCCAGACCAGAGCATGGTATCCAGGCGGGAAGCATGAGCCCAGATGGTGAACACGTGTGTCGTGTGTTGGCATGTGAGATGGAAATTTGGGGGGAGGGGGCATCCCATCACTGTAGGGCTTGGTTAGCCCATAAACCAGGTGAATGTTCTTCTATAATTCACTTTGGAGACGGTATAGATCCTTTTCTGTATCTCTTCATGAAGCCTCGCTTTGGTACGCAGGTGTTGTATTCTCTGGGACCACATTTTGCTTTTTTTGGGTAGAAGTTCAACGAGATTTACACAAACACATCTTGGATGTCCAGCCGGGTGGGGCAGAGGGGAGGTGGGGGTTGTTCTAGCAGCTGTTGGGGGTGTGCCACCCATGCAGGACTTTGGTGGAATCCTATGTGCGCCTGGCATTTCCTTTGTGTGCCCGAGTGGGAGATTCAGGCGCACGGCCTGGCTTCCATAAGCAGACAGGGCCACTTCCTGATGACTCAACTCTGCGTTGCCACATGTCCATGAACACAGTAACCCTATCCACACTGCGCCACTCAGACCTAAACCGCTCAAGGTTAGTCATTAAAAACAACAGCCGTCCGCCCAATGTGGGGCGGCTCCTCTCCACCCGCCCTCTCGTGGCTTGTGGCTTAGCGCTGACCATCAGAGTTACACAGTTGTGGTTTTTCCCAAATGAGGTGAAACCCAAGGTTTGAAGATCATCTTTGGCCACAATCGTACTACTATAGTAAAACACTGAAGCGTTACCACACACCTTAAAACGAAGTGTAGCGATAAACATGGGTGATGTGCAAAACTAAGGCTGGAAATCACTCCAGCGATGGAATATTCCGGATTCCTGCGGCTTCTTTGTGTTCTGATGATGTTTCGCTCCGTTGCATAAGGTTTTGTACAGGTATTTTTCCATTCGGGGTGGAGCTGACAGCACAAAGTACCGGTTTGGCAGCCAGATGCAGGAGGTGTGTGGTTCACTATACACATCAGTCCAGTGTAGACGTTCCCCCACCCCCCCAAAAGTTGCCCCACCTTTGAGTAGGTTACTGGGGTTCAGCTTGGAGCTCTGCAGGACATCGTGGAAAAGAGGCTGCTGTGGAAGGATGCAGGTGGCCAAAGTCCCAGAATGCACCTTGGTGCCTTGCTATTGACCAAAGTGTTTAAATCAGTTTGTCTCAGTAATAAATACTGCTTGGTAGAAAGATAAATAAAAAAAACAGCTCACTTCCTGAATTATAGGAATATGAATGAATATAGTAACCAGGAAAAATAACCTGCTACTAATGAGAACTGGGTCGTTCTTCTCCCGCCTTGCCTACTACACCGGCTGGGGTTTGCTGGATTGTTCCTCAGCAAGGGGAGGGTTTGTTTCTTAACTCACCCAAGTGTGTTTGGTAGGAAGGCATGGAAGCCCTTGATAAGAGCAGAGTATGGCAACAGATCATAGACAAAACAGAGGAGCAGGCCGCAAATGGCCGTTTATGCAACCCCGAGGCAGAAAATCTTTGTGATCGGGCAGTTAGTCATTTCATGGCAGCTGTGGTCATATCAGCCCATTTTTCAGTAGAAATGCTTGCAGCGAGTATTTCGAGTTTTGATAGACGTCTGCAATAACAATCAACAAGTGGAATGTGTAGCATCAGCGATATCTGTTTTTGGCACCAAAAAATCAGACTGCCAAAGAGATGAAAACACAGACACAGACCATACACATCCACATTCACCAGTAAACACCACCACAAGGCAGATACTCGCATGCTCGTTTGGCGATTATTGTCGATGTCACTCAGTTCCATGAAATGAAGAAAAACAAAAACCCAGAACATGTACAGAACGTGTCAGCTGTTTCCTGTTTTCTGCCTCAGTGGAGACCGCAGAGGCACGTGCCCAGTGCCAGCAAGAGATGCTCTAACAGGAAATGAGCATCGTGAGGAACGGCAACAAAGACTTTCTCTAACAGGAAGTGAGCAACATGAGGGACAGCAACAGAGACATTTTCGAGCTGGAAGTGAGTCCTGTGAGGGACAGCAACAGGGACATTCTCTATCAGGAAGTGAGCACCATGAGGAACAGCAATAGCGACTTTCTCTAATGGAAAGTGAGTGCTTTGAGGGACATTCTCTATCAGGAAGTTAGTGCTGTTAGGGAGGTTCGGCCTGGGCGGAGGGCTCCGCAGCCTTCCCAATTAAATTAACACCCTCATTGCGCGCTGCATGCACAGGTGGGAGCCAGCGTGGAAACTGTGGTTTCCGCACACAGAGGAGCACAGCTGGGCGGTGCTTCAGTAAAAATTACCTCACAGGAGAACTTAATGAGCCACTGCTGTAACTTCCACCAATTTTCCACATTATTTTCCAGTAAGACCAGACTTCAAACATCCAGATTTATGTTCTGTGTATATTATTTTGAGGAGGCCCTGTTTCAGATGACTAGCTTGACTGAGCTGCTGATGGATTAA